TATATAACATTAAAGCAGAGTTCACTAGGGCTATATAATACGTGTTCTTAATTCAGAACGACTATGAACAATCGCAACAACTGACATCGTTGGCAAACGATTCGTGATGAAAACCAGAAACAGCTGCTTTCCTATTTGGTTATTCCTAAATGCTTTGAAGAAGATGCTCGATCCTTTACAATCTGCAGTATGCCGAATGACTCTAATCAAGTTTACAATTGTCATATAAAACCGGACATGACATTAGAAACATTTCTTTGGAAGAAGTTGACAAATAATAAAAAAAAATATTTGTGCTGTTTTCACAACGCCTGAATATTGGTAGAAAGCCACTTTCAAGATTGAAAGAAATTTTACTCTAATTAAACCTTTGGAAGCATTATAAAGGGGTGGTGTTTTTTCTTCCGTCTTTTAATTTATTCATATTACAGTGCATTTAAGCGTGACTGATTGAATAACTGCATTTTGTATGTACTTAAAGCTGTTTTCATTTAAATTTGAACTTAGCAGTTCATTTTCTGTAACAAAGTTTCAAAGCATTTAATAGACCAACAGGGCCATTTTCAAAACGTTTTCGAAGAATTTTGAAATTGTCATAAATCATATGTCAAAATACCTGACTATTGTCTTCTATATACAAATTGATTTACTTTGGTTACTTGTGTCGTAATGAACAATATTTGAGGAAGGTATATTTAATTTTAATATTTCACGTTAATAATTTTCTTTAGTAGCATTGTCAAGAGCTCAATACAATGTTTTTGTTCTTTTAAGTTCACACATATCAAATTCCAACAAAAATGTTATATAGTGTTATATTTTGGTACGTACGAACGAAGTGCTTTTCTGTAATTACATTTGTAGGGTACTGATGAAATCAAAGAGTTAATAGTAATCTTTAGAGGTTTACAATTTGGTCACATGTTCGAAATTATACCAAAATGTCGTTTAAACCGTGAAATACACATTTGATTCAATGATACTATGGATTTAAGAAAAGATTGGAGGATTTTTAGAAAATGCTTTGATGTGAAATAAATACAGAGCCCTACTCTTTATCAACACTATATTTCCCTTGACGACTAAATTTGAAATTAAAGTATCTAATTTTTTCGCTTGAATAAGATTATTTCTTCCAAACAGTTTCGTTTACAATCTTTCATTATTTGGAGGTACAAAAACGAAGAAAGTTTTGAAGATATATAAATATTTTACATTGATTCTACTCAGTTATTCTGAGGTATAACATTTCATCGTTCAATGAACTTCCAGCACTCAGATAAAGATAGACATTTTGATATATTTTTATCTTGTATCACAATTTACTTGTGTTCGTATAGGAAATACAATATTTTTATTTCAAGAGTGAATTGATTCGTATTTTTAAAACCTTTTTATACTGGTTTGATATGACTGTATTTTGCTTATTTGATTTATTCAAGCCTTTGTTTCTATTATCTTTAAATATCGATTAAACAGAACTTTCTGCACGTAAATTTTACCTTTCTAGGAAATGTAATCTTAAGATAAAGCATTTCTTTTATTTTTGCAAAATTGTTTTTCTATTTACACATTTGAATATCGTGTCTAGCCTGAGTGTCAGCTCCTTTTCAAGTATTATACATTACCAGACTTAACTTGACTTCTCTTTGACGTTTTCAATCGCCTTAACTATCGAATGTATTCAATACGGAATACTTTGAGACAGTCACAAACTACTTTGTCAATCAAGAAAAGCATTTAGCAAATAACAGATAAATTTGTGTGGTATTTACAGAAAGCTTTGTAAATATCAAACGCAATCAGTAATTTATCAGGAATGTTTTAGCTAATTCCTGCTGACGATTAGTAAAATCTGTAATGAATTCATCTCTATTGATGAATGCAAGTTCATTTTAATATTAACCTCTTTCCTTTAATATATTAAATACATATCAGTGCTAAACAGCTGTTTTGTTGCGATTCACCTCATTTTTTTTCTTTTATCCACAAATGTAGGATCGTTAGAGGATATTGAAAGGCATACTGGATAAAACGTTAAAGAAAAGCGTAAATTCAAAAATAACGAATCACATAAAATAACGGCTTTAAGGATTGTAATATAAAAATGAAAAAGCACATTACACAAATAAAGTCTTTACTTTCCTCAAAACGTGTGTGTTTTAATATCATCGTATAAACAAAAGCGGAACTTTGAAATATTATTTCGTTATAAGCAGTCAGTTTGGCCCGAATTTGTCAAAATATAAACAAAAACATCGCTGATGTATTATTGACTTCCAAGTCAGTAATTTAATCTCACTGAATCTGTATGCATGTGACCTTAAAATTAACCCTTCAGCTCGAGTTGGATTAAGCATGTACTAGGTGTGTTCAGCTATTAAAAGAAAAAGAATGCCAATATTGAAAGTTAAACAAGGATGAACCATTTGGTTGACTGATTCGATCCACAGAAAAAAATCCTTGTTCAGGTAAAGACGATTATATACACATTTTTTAACCTATAACATGAACTCAAACATACAAAGAAAAATCTAATTGCACGTGCTGGCTATCTATTTATATTTTTATTTATGTTTATGTTGGGTCATATGACCGTCGGCAGTCTTCGGAGGTTATCTCAATGGTTAATTAGATGACGTCTAGACTAAAATACACACGAAATACTGATACATATTATCGAGTCCATGCATTGTTCATTATTTATTTAAGGATATTTGTAATTTGAATATACGTTTTAGTATGTTATAAATCAAGTATTAAGAATCCTATTAAATCGGGTGAACATGAATTTAACAGCAAATGCCCCTTAAAGGGAAAGGTATTCATATTAGGTATATGTTGACAGTCAGAAGAACATTAAAGTAAACCTTGTATCGTAAAAAAGAAGGAAGAAGATACCAAAGGGCAATGAAACATCATAAGTCGAAGAATAGCAGACAATGCCATGGCTTCAACGAATAACACAGAAAAAAACAAATAACATTCATAAAACACTATATAGAAATCTAACGATTGAGCTGACGTACCGCAATAAAAACTATTGGTGATCTCTGGTGCTCGGCAGGGTCAGTAGTGATAAACTCAGGATTCGCCATCTACAATAAAGTTTTCCATTCATGGACTAATAACATTGGACTTCAATTGAGTTGTCTATTCACAGTCTATGATTAAAATCAAAACATGTGTATCTCCATACATTGGTTTTTTTTGGGGTATTTTTTTTTTTTTTTTTTTGTGAAATTGTATATTTTATCTTTAGGGGAATTGCACTACTAACGAAATGATATATTAAAAATATGCATGCAACAGCCATAATTTATAAATATGTCAACATTTTTTTAATGATTAGAACGCTGCGTTTCTATTAGGGAATACGATACAAACGGTGAGTGAAGATTCGCCGTTAGTTTTTTTTTTCTAAAACTTTCAAAAACGATTTTAATTTTTTTTTTCTGTGCAACAAATATAAATATACAGGCATGATTTACCTTTCAATTAATTGCTGTGTCAACAGGTGTTTGAAAAGAAAAATTCAATATGGGATATTTCGAAAGTTTGAAATGTTCAAGAACAATACCAGATCTTTTAAACGAAACCTGTTAATTTCTATTCCCAATTGTGGTTCCTTTGTTTGTAGTATTAAGTTTATGCAATACATTTATAAACAAATTTAACTCAATAAGTGTAGTCTATCCGTCTTAACAATGCCCAAAGTATACAATTAATGAATCCGACAGCTCTCAGGTTTAAACAACGAACTCAAAGCATAGAAACGAATTGACCGTTGATATTTCTTATGTATAAGCACATCATTCTTTAATCAGTGCATATTGGAAATTCATATAGAAAAGGTATGGTTTATTGGGTCCACAATGTTGTTCAGCTCTACTTTATTTGGCCTTTTTAACTTGTTTTATTTGAGCGTCACTGATGTGTCTTTTGTAGACGAAACGCGCAACTAGCGTACAAGCTTTTAATTCTGTTATCTATGATGAGTTTATTAGTCATTTTGGATAAATAAAGGAAATCGCAAATTCTTGCTGAAGTTGATTGTTTATTGTTTAGAAGTGTAAAGTAATATTATTGTTGACAACTTCGTTATCTATTTTCTTCTACTGGATATGACGTCATTTTGGTGTTATATTGAATCGAATACAATTTCAAGCAAAAGTTCTTTTGTGTTTTACTTTGTCCCCTCGTTGATACATTCATCCGTTTTATTTCGTTGACAAGCATAATTACATAGAAAAACATAAATCATAAAAGTTTAAAGTTTTAAGCCGATGATGCATAAATCAGTAAAAATAAGTAAAAGAACTTTAAATTAAAAATTTCTTAAGTTGCGGAAATAATTTGTCAACTTTAGTTATATTTAAGTAAAAATTACACCTGATCGTTTATTTCCCTTGTTATAATTATTCATTTATTGTTATATTTAGAAGTATAGTTTATTTTTGAAATATAAAATTTTAATCATTTATTGCTGAACTGTTTTATTCAGTATATGTATACACCAACAACAGCAAAAACGGATTCAGTTTAGGTACTAGCAATGGAGGGAAGTGTCACGTGCAAGACTTATGACTTGGGTACCCTGTAGCGACTTTTGACATTACATTGTACTTCTATAGTTTTTATTCTTGTTTGGCTTTAATTCCTATCTTTATTTGCATCTTTTCTGTTACAAAAACTTTTTAACCTTGACCTGAAAGTTTAGTACAGACATGCACATCGTATTCAATATGCTTCTGTATGTTTAAAGCAAATGCTAGATTATAGCTTAAAATAATAGAATTATAAAAATATAACTTTAAAATATTTAATTCCAATTTTTTAAGAAAGATTAGCTTTAAAAGAAAGAATGGAGACCTGAAAAAAAGCTTGAAAACGTCAGGGAAAAATACACAAAAATATATTTGCATGTTTGGTGATACATGTAGTTTATATTCATTTGTTAACCAAACGAAAATATTGACCTATCATTTTTCGTATTTCAGAAATTAAACAGAAACAATATGACAGATGCACAGGAAGAAGAAAAGCGCGCTCTAAACATTGCAATAGGTCTTATGAGCGTGTGTTCCTTAGTAGGCGTAATTGGTAATGCCCTAGTTCTCTACGTATTTTCAAGCTTCAAGCAGAAACTGACATCAACAATATTTATACTAACACTAGCCACAACAGATTTTTTAACATGTCTTGTAACAATACCTTTCACGATAGCCGTGGAAGCCCTATACATGAAATTGGAGTATGATCTTGTATGCAAAATGTACTATTTCCTAATGACCACAACTGTTCCGTTTTCTGCTTTTGTCATGGTGGCTATTGCGGTTGATCGTTATTTGTGCATCTGCCATCCATTCAAACATGTCATGACAATCAAGCGAGCAGAATATATTGTTGCTTTTCTTTGTGTATTTGCCGTTGTTTTAGGAGTTTTGTGTTCTTTAAACTACGGAATGGTAGATCCTAACTATTTGCAGATGAATTCAAGCTCTATTAATAAAACAACGGTGATACCATTTGATGTATCGACAGATGCCATGATGAACACAACTACCAAATATAATGCTACAGTTTCAACTATATTGAGACCCGAGTTTGTGTGTTTACCAGTTCAAAATTACGACGATCACGCCTCTTTCTTTTACATATATCAAAAGATATACTCGTCGTTTTTTGCTATTTGTTGTCTCATAGTGATGGTTCTGTATGCCATGATATACCGATCTGTTCTCGCGAGACGTCGACAAAGATTAAAAGTTGTTACTAATCAATGTTGTGGATTCTGGAATGCCTTGCCAAATGAGGTAGAACAAACTGAATTTTCAACTCTTAATACTCTTAACAATGAAACTTCATTTGGAAAGTCGGAGGTAGAGAAAAATAACAAAGCCGTTCAGAAAAATGGAAATGATACTTCAATAAGTGATAAAGATGTCATCATAAAACCGGGCGGACTTTCACGAGCAAAACTTGAGAAAATGAGAATGGCTAATATAAAAACTGCTTTCATGCTGTCAATAGTAACATTAGTATTTATTATTGCTTTCTTACCTTCCTGGCTGGTTGCTTTGAGAGTTTTCGACATGAATGTGGTGGTTTTCTATTTATTTTTTATTTACCATAACGCGAATCCTGTCATTTATGCCTTCATGAACAATGCCTTCAAAACGAAATTAAAAGAACTATTCATTTGTAAAAGAAGATAGATGAATAATGAGACCCATGACATGTTGTGTAGGAAGTGAAAAGAATTGTATTCAAATGCATAGTAATCAATTCTGTGAACAGGTGAATGATAGTTCGCTTCAATAATCAGTGTAGGAATATAAGAGTATATAGTAACTGACCTTGAGCTAAAATAAAATACTAGAATTGTTAAAGAAATGAATGATATGAATGTATATGTATATATATATACCCGGACAAAAGTTCCACACCAAACTAACTTATTTTAAAAGTGAATATGTACAAAACTAATTGCTTTTCTTGGGTTGTTAATTATAATCTATTGACACAAAATCAGTTTTGAAGCACACTGATTGATATCATAATCCAAGAAAACATAATCTGTTTCAGATGGCTGTTTTTTAATATTATTTACAAGGGACATTTATTTTGCTTTACAGTACGGGCCTTTTTCTCATAATTTTTCATTTGCAAATGATTTTGACAGTTATCGCACTGTAAATCATGATGCGTATTCTTCTTGTCTTATTGTTAACACATATTACGAAAGAAAAGCCTATTTTACATAAATATAATAAGTTAAACTATTTTCAAAACTAAAATTAAGATAAGACGTTTTAATAAGTGAGAATATCTGTTACCAAAATTACAATTACCTACTTTAAAATTTGCCATTAAAATCAAAAACGGTATGAAGCGGTAGAACATAGACGCAATTAATCGTTGATATCTAATTTTCATTCACACTTTTCCCTCTACTCACTCCCATTTGTTTTGAAATGTATTTTGCACTGATATTAAAAACATAAGTACAGACTTGAAGCCGTCATATCCTATGCCCATCTGTTAAGATTTTGTAAGATAAAAGTGAAGATCAATATGAATTTCGGAAAAACAACTGCAAATGTCAATTGTAGAAATTTGACTATTAGAATCTCTTGCATTCTTTAATTTTTGAAAAAAAAATTAGATTTTCATCATAGACGATCGATATTTTGAAAGAAGAAATTGTAGTAAGATCAAAGATAAACAGCTGCACACCCTGTGTTCTGTAAGATGTTTTGCTACAGACTGATTTTGCAAACATCTTTATTTTTCTTATAAATTATTAGTATATAAAATTTAGAAAAATGAGATGATTGCAAATGAGTCAATTTTCAACCAAAGATCAAAAAGCGAAGATGTAAACAATTATTTTATATTGGTCCTCGTATGACCTTCAACACTGAGGAAAACTCATACCGTAAAATAAGCTATAAATGGCTCTGGAATGACAAAATATGAAACAATTCAAAAGAGAAAACCGTAATTTATCACGATCCATCTATTTTGCATGATATTCGATCGGTTTGCGATTTAAATTTTTATTAAAATGGGATTACAACCACGTATAGAACATTAAACACATTAATTATATTTCTGGTCGTCGTATACTCATATAAACAGATGATTGAAATTCCGTTTGAAGCATTGGGAGCTATAGAGCATTTTTAATATTCTCGTTATTTGACAGCAATTTAACGCCACTTTAGTGTAAACAATATTTTATTATTATGAATTATACAATTACAATATATATTTACATTCACAAAAGGATTCAGAAACAAGCAACACGTGCTTATGTCAATCTGTCTCCTTACGCTACTTTATCAGATTTTATTTGTGCAATAAACCTACTGATGTCCAAAAATCAGCGCCTTGTTCATAAAATGCATAATAAAGATGTGTTATTACTTAAACATTGTTGATTCAAATCATTTTGGAGCATGTCATTTATTCAATATCATCAAAATAGTAATTACAGTTAACGTAATTTAATTAATTTGTAATATTAACTGCAATAGGTAATTTGTTTTGAATTATGTGATAGTACAGACCTTATCACTTTTTGGGAATCTGCGAGACTTGACCCGATAATTTGCGACACTTTAACTATTTATGTCATACAACAGTCATTTTTCCTTCTGGCGACAGATATTATCTCCTGTGACGTCAAAATTTTACGGGAATGTCTGGTGTCCAGTAATGGCGGACAAATAGCGATAATGTATATTAAGTTTGTCCTTTTCAATCTTGTTTTCCAGTGAGGCATCTTTTCTGTTCTGTATCAGTTTCTGAAATTTGGCTTGTTTTTTTTTAATTTTGTCTGGGTATACCTTTCGTAGTCTCTTTTCACAAAATATCTTACAATAAAAATTGGTTGTAATTTATATCATAAAGTTCTTGACATACTAGTACTAAATCACGTAAGGCGTGTTGTGAAAAGAATAAAATTAAATCGAAAATACGTTCTGCCTATTCATTTCTTCTGGATTACTGAAGACATTTATTTGCTCTCAAGTAAAATGACTTGAGTAAAGTGGAAGTCAATATTACAAGTAGACTGCCGTATTTTACTGACAATTTAAGAAAAAGTGTGAAAATGAATTTTGTGCTGACAGTGTGCCAACAATTTTTTTTTCATTTGAAAGATACAAGCACTATGTTGCGATATGAAAACTGTATATTCAAACGTTAACTATTATGACAGAATATGAATAATTATATTATATTTCTGGGATATTCCGATTGGTAAGAAATTGAAAATGACTGTTTGAATGGAAATGCTTTTACACCACGATGCAATTATAGGCACGATCTGGAGTTGCTGAACTAGTCAAACGTAAAACTGAACAATGATATTGTAGTAAACGAATATTTTGTGAATATCATCAATAAAGTGTATGTTAGTGTATTGCTTTAAGATGAATTCAATAGTTGACACAGTCACAGAGTAAACCTTAAGGTTAAAAGAAAGTATGCAATGTGTAAATAATTCATTAGTTTATTACGTTGAAAGTGGAAAATAGTTTTCAGTGGTAAACACACTTTTTACCATAAACATAGAAACGAGTCGATCGTAGCTTAGCCATATACTAGTTATAGGAAAATTTCAAATACTAATATTATATAGTAAATAAATAAATGGTTCTTGTTCTGTTGTTAAATTGCTCTATCACTGACATGTAAACTCTATCTCGTTTTATTTGTGTAACGATTCATAACTTAGAATTGGAAATGGAAACGGGGAATGTGTCAAAGAGACAACAACCCCACCGAAGAGCAGAAATAAGCCAAAGGCCACCAATATTCTTTAACGCAGGGGGAAATTTCGCACCCGGATGCGGGCTTCAGCTGGCCCCTCAACACTAATGTATACTAGTTCAGCGAAATGGATGCTAAACTAAACTTAGACTTTATTGTTTGTTTTTTTTCGGATATTTACCCCTTTCCCTACCTTGATTATGAGTGCGACTATTGCCTACTTCTCAATACGGTCATACTTTTGTCAATACTTCTCTATATTTCTTCAAAACGGTGGCTCTTCCTGCAGAGTAACTTTCCAAAAAGACGTTAATGACAAATAGAGGATATATAAACAAAAAATGTAATGTGTTAAGAGCAATGGCACAATTTACCTTAATTATATTTACATCAGAGCTATTTTAAAAACAATACACGGTGTCACAGATTGCGTTGATGATCTGACAACGATATGTCGCATTTTTCAAAAAATATAATCAAATGCATTAATCACATGTATTGCAGTTTTATTATTAATTGTTTGAACCAAGAGTTCCAAGTGGTGAATTTGAAATCATCCTTTCGTAAATCTTGCGGACGGAATCGAGTTAGTTGACCGTTATAGAATATTTGTTTCATAGATGACGACGGATATGTTAAAATTGCCGTCACAACAATCCTATCCTCTTTTCCTTGAATGCGACTTACCAAGTCAGACTTATCACTGGGTTTGTACTTACGCGAGCAACACGACGAGTGCCACATGTGGAGCAGGATCTGCTTACTCGTCCAGATCACATGAGATCAACCTCGATTTTTAGTGGGTTTCGTGTTGCTCAGTCTTTAGTTTTCTTTGTTGTGTGTTGTATGTTGTGCTTTATATACTGTTGTCTGTCATTTGGTCTTTTTCGTTTTTGCCATGGCGTTGTCAGTTTATTTTCGACTTATGAGTTTGAATGTCCCTTTAGTATCTTTCGCCTCTCTTTTGCACAATAGGTAAATATATTAATACCAAAAGCTACAGTTTTTTGGAAGTCGTACGCTGCAAAACTTTACAAAACATGCAACATTTGCAGTTGTGTTAGCGACTGTCTAAAACAACAATTCACAGCGATGAACAACATTTGTATTTTGTGTACACATAAAAAAAAGTCTTATTAGTTTCCATTCTGCATTAAAATATTTCAAGTTTTTTATCCTCTGAGTGAAATAAACATATATATCTCTGGTGGTTTTTTGTTTCATCGACATATCCCTGTTTCCATTCTCTTTTCTATATAAAAAATTCGCACTTCTTCACACTTTGTTGACCTTGTACGGTTGATATATTTTCAACAAGTCCTATTTATTTACATATAAATCAAGTCGTTGGCATTTTTATTGGTATTGTTCCAACCATTTCTGAAGAAGTTTGAAAAAGGGGCGGAAGACACCAAAGGGGCATTCAATATTCACAAGTCGAAGATAATCTGATAAGACCATAGCATCAACGAAAAACGATGAAAAGACAAACAATAGTTCCCAAAACACTACATAGAAAACTCAAGGCTGAGCATCATTAACCCCACCAAAACCCTATAAAATATAGGACATGATTTGCACAGCAAATTTATTAACTTTATTTGTCATTCATACATTAACTTCAAACAAGTTTACGTACCGAAGCGTATATTCAATCTTTTTCTGATGTTAGTGTTATATTTTTACCTGGTTTTCATGGTTGATAAAACGTTTGATACTGAAATTTAAAATTTTGATTTGTCGCCCGTTGGCCATTCAATGTGTCGAATTTGCATATCTGCTGAAAATCTAAAATCGTAAAAGCCAGCATTAAAACATATTATTTGAATATTCAAAAACAATCATTTTTTGTATTATAAGTTTAAACGTTTCGTTTCAGTAAAATAAGAATATCAATTTAATCAGATGGATTACTATATCTTAATTCTAAATTATTTAGATAGAAAATACATCTATTTACTTTCGATATGTTTACTCCCGAATGTGTTTGTTTTATTTTATGCCTGCAATTATGATCAATATTTATTTCAGCTGACAAAGGTTTACTACCTTCATTTCATTTCAAATTTCCACAATAATTGTCATCCTTGGTAATACACAGTTACGCATCCATTGGCGAAACATAGGAAAACAATCCTCACATTCCTGCATTGATATAAATAATCTAATATATTGATTTGTTTAATCAGGTTTTCAGTTCGTAAAGTATGTGCAGTAGAAACCTGCACAGAAAGTATTCAATGGGTTTTGTCTTTAACATATTTAAAGATATATTTTATTTTGAATCCGGAGAACATGATTTATTTATTAGATGTTATTGAATTTTAACATGATCTAAGTAACTGCAAGTACTCTTAGATCGATAATTTGTGTCTTTTGTCGTTTTGTTATTTTTTGTTTTGTGTGCATCTTGCCATAACTCAAACCAATTCAATCGGATGTTGCAGTTTATTGTTATTCTGTTCTGAAACACAACTGCCCAGTTGGCCAAAGGGTTAATTCCTTACAACCATGCATAATCCTACCTTCCTGACCTTAATAGGGAATCTGTAATATAGTGATTGTCGTTAGTTGCTGTCTGTCATATTTGTGTTTTTGTTCATTGTTTAAGTATAATTTAGGCCGTTGTTTTCTCGTTTGATTTTCTTCATATTGTATCATGTCGGAGCCTTTTATACGGTATGGGTTTGCTAATTGTCATATGCCATACGATGACATATATGGTGCCTAACATCATCGTCTTTTAGACTCCACTGGATAGTTTTTTCATTGGCAATCATACCAGACGTGCTTTTTGTTTGTAAGGGCAAAGGATAGATAAATTAGCTAAGACATTAAAAACTAATATACAGCTCAGAAAACATACAACTAAACAGCGCAAAACCCTATTTCGTCGCTCCTGACAAGTTAAAAGCAAACGATTAAATGTAATTGTTAATACGAAATAAAGATGGAACAAGTACGAGATTGTGAGTAGAACATATGAATTATTTTTGACGCATGTATTACGTAAATAAGTTGTCAATAAAGTCATGATGGATCATAAAATTTTGGCAGAGATGACTTCAACTTTACCATTAAGATCGTATGATCGATAGCTTTTTTGAAAAGCAAGAAACATTAATAAGGACGAGTGAAATATCATATAAACTGGGAAATGAATATTCCATATGCAGCTCCATATCGTTTCATAAAAACGGGAAGTTCACAATAAGAAAGTTGACGTTATTTCTCTTTTCGTAAAGTCTAGTTCTAAACCGACCATCGCTGTGGACTTCTAAGTGTAATGCAATTTCCAATGGAATATATGACATATTGTATTTAGTTTTATCAGTGATTCAAAGATCTCTTTTCCACAACAAACCCTGAAGGACAAAACTCAGTAAAATATGGCGAAAACGACCACTAATGACGTTCCAGGCATTGGTCAGCGACATTTGTTGAGGTTTAACTGATTGTTGTACACTCATTTTCCACCCTCCATCTATACTAGCGGTATAAAAAGAATACCCAGAAGACCGTACAGTATAAATCATTTCATTAAAAGTATTTAACTCAACTTGACATGAATTATCATTGATATGGTCAGAACTATAAATTAACTGTTTACAAAAACTTAGATTTTTTGAAATACTAAGGCTTTTCTAACTCAGGAATAGATTACCTTAGCTGTATTTGGCAAAACTTTTAGGAATGTTTGGTACTCAATGCTCTTCAACTTCGTACTGTATTTGGCCTTTTTAACTTTTTTTGATTCGAGCGTCACTGATGAGTCATTTGTAGACGAAACGCGCGTCTGGCGCAAATACCAAATTTCAATCCTGGTATCTATATCGAGTTTATTAACAACCACTGGGTCGATGCCACTGCTGGTGGAGCTTGTATTCCCCGAGGGTTATCACCAGCCCAGTAGTCAGCACTTCTGTGTTGACATGAATTATCATTGATATGGTCATAATTATAAATTAACTGTTTACAAAACTTTGATTTTTTGAAATACTAAGGCTTTTCTACCTCATGAATGGATTACCTTAGCTGTATTTGGCAAAACTTTTAGGAGTTTTTGGTACTCAATGCTCTTCAACTTCGTACTGTATTTGGTCTTTTTAACTTTTTTTGATTCGAGCGTCACTGATGAGTTTTTTGTAGACGAAACGCGCGTCTGGCGCAAATACCAAATTTCAATCCTGGTATCTATCATGAGTTTATTTACAGCTATGGACACAAATTGCAGTACAAGTAAAACAATAATATCAAATACTGTAACAAAGTGCTTAATATCCTGATGACATGAAATAATTTACACTATATACAATATCGTCAGCTATACTTCGGAGTATATATTTCGTATCTCAACGTCAAACACAATGCAGACGGTATTGTAAAATACCTAAACCAAATGTATATAAAATTGCAAAAAGTAAAATAACAAAAATAACGAACTTCAAGAAAGATTCAAAACGTAAAGTCCTTTATAAAATGGCAAAATCAAAAGCTCAAACGCATCAAACGAATGGAAAACAACTGTCATTATCCTGATTTGGTACAGTCATTTCCTTATGTAGAAAACGGTAGATTAAACTTTGTTTTATAGCTAGCTTAACCTCTCACATGTATGACAGTCGCATAGAATTCCATTATATTGACAACAATGTGTGAGCAAAACAAACAGACATAATAGGTAAAAATGTCAAAACATTGGAGTACAGCAGTCAACATTGTAATATAATCGTAATCATTATAAAAAGAACAAATAACTATTTCAACAAAGAAAAACAAAATGTCACATAGACACTCTGTAGACAAAGTACATAAGCTAAAATGAAAGACAAACATACATGCATATGGCGCCTATTAAAACGTTTAAACCCGCTGCATTTGTTTGCACCTGT